AGAAGTTCACCCTATCAGACAGCAAGGAGTGGAAGGCCATGCTTGGTACCGGTGCCGTGGAAGTTATTCCCCCCTCCAAGGCGGAAGTCGTTCGGAAGCAATTGCCGGATCGCATCATCTCTTCGAGGATGGTGCGCCGGTGGAAGCCGGTGGAGGGCACCTTCCAAGACCCAGAGGCCAAATCACGTTGGTGCGTACACGGTCACCGTGATCCTGATTCGGGTTCCCTGCTAGTATATGCTCCGACGCCACAGACGTCGAGCATCATGATGTTCCTTCAGGTCGTCGTGAATCTGGGGCTCCGGGCTGACATTGCCGATGTGAAGAACGCCTTTTGTCAGAGCGACCCCATGGTTAGGAGTCAAGGACAGATCTACGTCGAACCGTGCGAAGGCATCGACCTTCCTGCTGGATCCCTCATTCTCCTACGTGTCAACGTGTACGGTCTGGACGATGCGCCCATGACCTGGAGAAAGACGATCGTTAGCTACTTGGGTCAGCATGGGTTCACTAGGAGCTTACTTGAGCCGTGCTGGTACGTGCGATACGGTTCTAAGGGTGAGGTGCTCAACATGATTCTCCTAGAAGTAGACGACTTCTTCATCGGCTCGTCTTCAGAGAGCTCGCGGCGGTGGCTGCGAGAACTACTAGAAGCACGGTTTAAGTTCGGCAAATATCGAGACTGCCACAGCGGTCCCGTGGACTATGCCGGACGGAGGATCACGATTGGACCCCAACGTGCCACTGTTGACATGGAGAAGTATATTTTAGAAGAAGTGCGACCGGTCACAGTGCAGAAGGGAAGATTAGCCAAGCGTGATCTACCTCTCGAGCCCGATGAATTCAAGGCCCTTCGTTCCTTACTATACAAGTTCAACTGGATAGGGCGAGAAACTAGGCCAGAAGCTGCCGGAGTCGCCAGCATACTGGCCAGCCGGTTGAGAGCAGCTACGACTGGAGACATCTCCCTGGCGAACAAATTAGTTCGACACCTTCGTTCCTCGGCCTCACGAGGCCTGATCGTGTGGAAGCTAGATCCCGAGCAGATGTCAAGCCTGTCGTTCTCTGACGCCGGAGGGGTTGGAGCATTTGGCGACCTCGCGGACGAGAAAGGACTGCCCGAAGATCCCACCCAGGGAGCGTGGATGATCCTAGCATGCGACAAGAGCGTGTTGTCCAATCGGTCCGTGCGAGCGTCCATCCTAGGATGGCGCAGCTCGAAACTCCGGCGGAAGGTACCCTCGACACTAGCTGGGGAGACCCAGGCGTTGGCTGCAGCGGTCGCAGAAGTGGAGTACCTACAGATCCTGTACAGAGACGTGGTCTTTGGAGATGTCAGTGTCCGAGATCATCATCGTGGTTCGGGACCGTTCACTACAGTGCTTAGGCACAACTGTCGTCTGGGTTCCAGGGAAACACAGCTTCACGTAGTAGACGCTAAGTCTATCTACGACACAATGATGAAAGAAGGCAATGCTTCAGCCAAAGACCGTCGTACTGCAGTGGACCTCGCCATAATATGCGAAGCTCTAGAGAAGGCACAGGGTCGTGTTCGGTGGATACCGCACGGCCGGATGCCGGTAGACCCGCTTACCAAGGACGACGTTGGAAAATGTAACGCAGCGTTGTTCGACCTTATGGCGAGTGGCCGTATCATTCCTGTAGACGAGGGGGCAGAAGTCGAGCGTAGACGAGACGACCCAGGACTCAAGAGCAGGACCCAAGCAGCATCCAGGAAGGTCCTCGACCAGTCGTCCAGCATGATCTCATGGCAGGAGCTCCAGTCCCAGGATCTTGGTGGTGGTGGTGGTGTTGTGGTTGGTCCCCCCCTCTCTCCTTCCTCTCTCCTTCCTCCGGCGGCCGGGGGCAGCAGCAGAGGTAGCATGGAGGGCCTGTTTCAGTAACAGGACGTTCCCGGAATTCATTACCGCAGTTTCAGGAAGAGAGCAGATCGAGCAGAAGACTCGATGCAGCGTTTCAGGGGCGGCTTTCCAAATCAGGGATAGCTGAACCTACAAGAAAGTTTGGGGCATGTGACTCGTGCCCAGATTTTGTCATTTAGGTTCAGCACTTTGGATTTCCGTTCCTTCGCCGATATGGCTCAAGTCCAAAAACCATCTCGGGGTCACTGCTGCTGCCACAGCTGGCATCCACTTCGACCCGCGATGCTTCCAGCAGAGGCTAGCCAGCATGATGCGAGACGCTGCTGTTAAAGAAAGCCCCCCCTCCACCAAGCCCAGCGGCGCCACCCGAGGTCGGCCAGGTCGCCCAGGCATTTGACGCGGCATTGGCATGCGCCAGGCAACAATGCCAAATCACCCGGCTGCACCGCTCCCCCTTCCCAGACGACGTGCGCAGACAGTTCGGGGCGAACGGGCGCCCCCTCGCTGCCAAACTCGCCCGAGGGCCTGCCGTTCCCCTAGACTCGGTGAGCGGCCCCATTGCACTCGGCGACGCCTTGGGCCCCCCCAGCCAAGCTGCCTCGGTTCTGCCGGCCAGGGCCCGCGGGTGGCGCTCTGCAGCGCGCTCGCTCGCTCTTGTCCTTTCCCGCCTTCGCGCTGCCCCTGTCCGCGGCCCCCGCGCTCTCTGGCGCGCCCTCCACGCTGGCGCATGGGCTGGCCCCTCGCGGGCGCAAATGTGCTGCAACTTTGCCGTTGACGACCTGCTCGCTGGTCTGCGACGCGCGCGCCCCTTCGCCCGGCAAGCCCAAGATCGCCGCGTGGAATGCGCGCTACTTGCCCAGCGCAGCCGCGCACAATAACCAAAATAAGCACGCGGCACGCACAGGAGACCTCTCGTGGGAGGGCTCGCTTTCTACAGGGAACTCATTAATCCGAACGCGAGAAGGGCGTCTGGGCCAGCATGTTCCCGGCCCGCCCCTTGGCGTCCAGCGCCGCCTTGGTCGGCCCAGGAGGTGGGCCGGCAGGCGGAGTGGCCATCCTCATTCCCCGCGGCATGGCCTTGCGCGCCTCCGGCACCCTCGCCCCAGGCTGCGCAATATATGCTGGCGTCGACGTCGATGAGGACAACCATCGTCCGATCCTCATCATTGATCACCTCGTGGATGGGGCCTCGTGAGCGGGGCCCTCGGGGCAGCCATCAGCGACCCCGCGGTCGACCGCCCAATCAGACAGGGAAAGGCTTGCGCTTTCGATGTTCTTGGCCCTCCGCCAGGAAATCACGCGCGTCGGAGGGCGGGCGTCCAGCGCTGGCCCCTCGTCGCTGCGCGCGGCCTTTTCGGCGCAGGCTCGCCATTCCGGGGGAAACCGCAGATGCTTGCGCAGAAATTTGGCACGAGCCGCATCTACCGTTCTTTCAGAGAGGCATCTAACCAACGCGGTTCCGACTCGGCTCCTATTGTTTATATAGCCATGTCGGGCGAAGTTTGCGAAGCCTGCCCGCCATGCATCTTGTTTTTTGGTGCGTGTGTGTGTGTGTGTGTGTGTGTGTGTGTGTATGCGTGTGTGTTTTTGCGACCGCCGTGATTTTCCCACGTATCGCGTGCGGTTGGAACGTTCCACGGCGAGCGTCTGTGAATCTCGACATAATTGCCGCGCAGGTTTGCAAATGCACATTCTAGTGGATTACGACAGAGAATCAGCGCGACCATAGAACAGCATGCACGAATGTTGATTACATTTCGCTTGAGAAAGCGTTGCGCTTGCAATTCGTGAGTGCCTAGCCAAAGCGCCCATCAAATGTCTACCGGAGATTCGCGTGAAAGTCAAGGCATGCACGGGCGTCGTTCCGCGGGCGGTTTCGTAGCGGAGTGTCCGAGCGGAAGAGGACCAACACGCTACACATTCACTTAGACAGAGTGTTGTTCTTGGTATGGAGGATGCGTCGCAGCGCGAGGAACCCAGCGCGCGCGCGCGATGGAAACGGACATTTAGCATTTAAAATTCGGGCGCCAAGCAATATCTACGCCCTCGCACCACTTTTGGCCGTGGCGTCGTGTCGGCTAGCGATCGGGATGCTTTGTCCTTTGCCCAGTGCTCAAGACTTTGACTGCGCTGCCCGTAGCGCTGTTGGAACAAGTGCCAGGCTGTCCTGCCGTTCGGCCTTGACCGAATCGTTTCTGCGCGGACATGCGAAAATCTAGTCCCCCCAGTGCCCCTCACAATGACAAAGCTGCGCGATACAGCGGTGGGATGAGGCCGTTCCCGCCGAAAGCCAATGCCACCGTCGTCTTTCAATCCCCTCGGCTTTGCATCGCATGGGAGGGGGGGCGTCCCGCTCGTCCAAGCGTTGCTCAAGACGTGGTCGAAACTGAAGTACAGCCCGCACGGACTTGTCGGAGACGTTCTAGGGCGTCGCGTTGCCGTTCTTCCACATGTTTGTGCGCGCGACTGGTCGTTTTGACAGCGCACATTGGAGCTAATAGCAGTCGCGTATGCGCCTCGCATGACTCAGCTAAAAGCACGGCAAATATTTGTTGCCACAGTGGACCCCTAACAAAGTTATTGCATGGTGGATGTCTGCGCAAGGTGAGGTAAGCTGTATAGTGGACTCTATGTGGTGCACGCACTGTGGTGGAAGCTATGTGGTGCACGCTATGTGGCGTAAGCCATGTTGTGCACGCCATTTGGTAACTAGTTCAATCTACAGGGACCCCCAGCGCACAAGGCGCCCACGAGGCGCCCACGGGCGGGCCAGCACCAGGCGAAACCTCGGCGCCCACGAGAAGCACTGTTTGTGGAACATGAAAGCACCATTCTGCCTTGTTTGGTTTGTTGGACCCTACGAACAATGACGAGGCCCCGTGGACGGGGACAATGTTACCGCGGGCAGGGGCTCGATCGGCGGTTGAATATGAGGAAACATGGATTTGCCTTCTTTTCGGGAACGCACTGCTCCAGCTGAAGGGCCCTGTGTTCGCAATCTACTCGGCCCACTGGATCCAGCGCCCCATGTCCCAGCCCCTGTGCCTCTGGTCTGGAGCTCAGACCGCAACGCGAATCGCATTAAGTCAGTTTTTTCACCAGCCCCCCAGCGCAAAGGAGGTCGAGGCTTTCCAACGCCGCCGCAGCAAGAAGCTGGGGCAGCTCCAGGAGGCGCTCGACAAGGCGTCGGGCACCGGCGGGACTGCGCGGGCCTCATTTAAGGCTGCGGGGCCGGACGTACCGATTGGGGGCAGAACTCCCGAACGCCTTCTGTTCAAGGTTCGGCCTCGGAAGCTGAGCAGCTGCTGCTGCTCCTTCCTCTCTTCCTCTTCCCGCCGCTTCCTCCTCCCTCCCATCTTCCCTCTTCTCACACTCCCCTCTTCCTCCCCCCTCCTTCTTCCCCCCCTCCCTTCCCTCTTCCCTCTTCCCTTTTTCCGTGTCTCTCCTGCTCGTCCCTCTTCCTTCCCTTCCTCCTCCTGCCGCTCCCTCCTCCCTTCTGCCTCCCTCGCTGGCCCAGGGCAGGCTGACACGGCCCGGCGGCAGTGTCGGGCGTGGGAGTTCCGGGCTGCCGGGTCCCTGCTGCACGGGGGGCCAGAGCCCGCTCCAAGACAGGGCTTCCGAGAGTTCTGCCCTCGGGGCAGGGCGCAGACGGGGCTCATGGGGCAACGTCAGGGGGGGAGGGGCTCAGAGGGGATGCAGCGACCCCCCATCGCCCGCTGATCGCCGACAGGGGCCCGATAGCCCACTCCGCCCAGAAACGCGCGGATTCGCTATCGGGGGTCTGTCGCCGATCTATCGGCGATGTATCGCCGATCCCGGGTCGATGTTCCCCCCCCCCAAACGGGCCTCCGCCCCCGACCTTCCCCTTCAGGAGCGCAAGGGTAGGGAGGACACGGAGGAAGCAGGGGTGAGGGCAGCGGGAGCGACCGGGGCAAGCGATGGGGGATGGCAGGGGGGAGCGACGGGGTAGGGTAAGGAGGGCAAGGTGGAGCGAATAGGGAGGGGCAGGGGGCATTTATGCGGGGAAGTGGGGGTGCAGAGGGGGAAGGATGGGCAGGGATGTGCGGGATGGATGCGCAAGGTGATATGACGTTGTGAAGGGGGCGGACAATCAGCTTGAAGGAATAGCTCTGCGGAGGGGCAGAAGACGACCACGTCATGAGACCAATTTGCAAGCCAAGTGAGCAAGAGCAACCGATGATACAGTCCTCCGCAGGCAAAAACACCACTTGCCTGCGAGAAATTCCGCCACTGCGCTTGCGCTGTACTCTGTCCACCCCTCGGAGTTGTTTCGAACGCCGCAATGTGCGGCACGCATCGTTCCCAAGCTTCAAATAGTTCGCAACATACTCAAATCTCTTTCCAGGGCCAGAAGATGCTTTCACATCTGACAGTTGTCACCTCGACGCCCACAGGGCCGCAAAATGGGACATCTCTCTCTCCGCCTTGCCCAGGGTGCTGCAGCATGCTTTAGGGCGCAGTTATGTGCCACCTTTTCTCCAATGATCCCTCATGGTCGCAACATGTGATATTTGCTTCCCCAGTCTAGAGAGAGCCGTGACATGTGGCAGCTGAAGCCCCATGGTCCTGAGGTCCGTAACAAGTGCAACATTCTAGCTGCTTCGCGTAACACCACCAAGTGCAGGACTTAATTCCAACTTTGGCGTCTTTCAGCCTCCGACTTGCACGTTGCACCAGCTACCTTGGGCATCTGCAGACATCCAGCCAGCTCACCCCAGCAGCCCCCCGGCAGCCGCTTCTGATTGCTGGCCCGGCCGTCTCGCGCGTGGCTCGGTAGTTAATTAGGCTGGACCGTGCCCCAGACCCCCCTCTCGGCGACCGCTTTACGCGTCTGCCCGCTGACTAAAAAAGTAACACCACCAACCCATTCAGAAACGATGCGCAAACAAGTTGTCCTGATCAGGGATGTGGAGGAGCATGCCGTGGAAAAAAGGGCGGGGTAAGACGTCATACGCCAAGAGGGGGAGGATGGAGGATAATCGTAGGAGCAGGAGGGGGAGGAGGCAGAGGGGGAGGGGGTGTCAATCAGTATCGGAACTCTCTAGGTCCTCGATCGTTTCGAATCGAAGTTTCAAACCTCTTTGCGCCACTTCTCCTTGCCCTCCTTCCCAACTATGGCTCTGCCTGCCGGGGTGAGGGAAGCGAGACCGTTTTGACTGCGCGAGCGGCCTCTCGAGCTAAACACTTACGGATCATTCGTCTCTGCTCACGTTGCTATCATTATGCCGCCTGCTCTGCGGGTGGGGGAGGGGAAATCCAACAATGTTCTGTCAGAAACCTCCGAAAGCTTCCGAATCTCCGTTGTATGGAGTATAACTCACACTGGTGAAAAGAGAACGAAAATTCGGAAAAAGCGCGTTCTGTGGTCGCTTGGAGGGGGAGGGGGGGGTTCAAACCCCCCCCGTCCCGTGACGGAGGGGGGGCGTTCGAACCCCTCTCCCCCTCGGAAACTGTTTATATTGCCACGCCATGGTCAAATACAAATCGCATGTCAGGGCGAATTATCTGCAGATGCCGGCAGAAAATGCGTTATCTGCTACCTGTGCGTTACTGGGCCTAGAGCCGCGTCTGGGGAACCCCCCAAGGGGGGAGAACCGGCCCAAGGCCATTTCTAATAGGCTAAGAGCGATGAACAAAAGCTCCGCTGATGTTTTAGACCATCTGGCTAAGGTTGAACAGCATCAGCGTAGGTGGGCTCTTGATGAGCCAGCCCGTAGTAAGATGGCATCGGCTGGTGGTGCATGCATCGCTGTGATGCCGGGGGCTGTTCCTTCATGGCGTCCCAGCAGCGCCTCGGCGCAGCCGCCGGCGCGACGCGAACCTTTCTTCCAGTACCTTGAACCCTTTAAGCTTAGATTTCTCGATTGGGTGAGCCACAAGCGTGGGGGTGATTGCCCCACTGCTGCCCGCGCGCTCGCTGCGTTCGATTGGGACCACGTTATTGCAGATTTTATGCGACCAGAGGTGGGCTGGGATCAGGGGGAATTTGGAGCGGCGAACCATGCGTCTGCATTCACCACTATTGGAGATATCGGTTTCTAAATCGTTGTGGATCTTCATCACCGGCCAAGTCGCAGTGATGCTGCAATTTTACAACGTGAAAAAGAAGGCTGAGATGTCGAATGGTGTGTCCAACGTATACATCGCACAGCGACACAAAATGATCCTTGCAGATAGGGACTTGCCTTTCTGGCAAGATTGGATTCCCATTTCTGACTGCATGGGTGGTTACAAACATGACAGCGTAACATATGAGAGGTCAGATGCCATCAGAGTTGCAACCCAGTTTGTTCTTGAATGCATGACGGTTGACCCAAATGCGAGGCCACTGGATTCGGACGTGATTCACGAAGTGCCTCCAGGCTGAGGAGAGCTGATAGATCAGATTTGAGACCAGCCGTTCAATCGTATCCCTGTCCATGGAAGATGGTGAAGGGTTGTTTTAGCTGTGCGCGAGATGATATTCTTACTCATGCCAACGGGAATTTCTATTGCGTTTCCAGGGTATGAAGTGCAGCGTACTCCGATATCTGATCAATCTTTGGAGGATACCTATGCTCTGGGTGGTCGATTCCGACCAGCAATTGAAGCATTCGATTTGCTTGATAACTGGCTTGAAGGATTTGGAGATGAGGTTTCCAAGACCGCGCGAGATAATTGTTCCAGTATCCACGAAACCATTGTCTTCAGTAGCACATTGACGGATCAACCACAAAGTGTCGCCATTTGTCTCGCCGGCAGTCTTTTCGGAGGTTTCAATACCGATAACGCTATCGGAATCATTAATCTTCTTGAGAAGAAAAGGGTAGAGAGCGGCACAGCCGACTCTCCCACTGAGACGGTTCAAACTGAGTCACCAGCGGGTGGCCCGGCTTCAGTTGCTGACAGTATTACCTCGCTGCGAACTCGGCAGCGTTCTCGTCCGCCTCCGCGGCCGCGAATGCCGTGTGGGAGGCCGTCTTATCGCGCTGCCCCCTACCCATCAGCGTCTGCCGGCACAGCCGCGTCAGGCCAGGAGACTGGGTGGATTGATTCGGCCAGAGTTCGAACCAGGGCGGATGGGCCCAGGGGCTGAGGCATTCAGGCCACAAACACCGGCAATTACGCTGGGTGGCGGATCTTCTCGCGATGGCGATGGCGCTGGGCCGCTCATGGGCGGCATCTACGACGCGACCGTCGACTGCGAGGCAAAAGTGCGACCGGAGAGATTCAAGGACATTATGTGCGTGTTTCTCGAGCTCAGCCAGTTATTGGCCACAGCAAAAAGTGGTAATGGTTTAGTCTGGCTGATTACAAGTCGAAGCTCCACCGTTCTTCTGGAACATCAAGAACCTTGCGATCGCCCGCGCCTCCACCTGCGCCGAAGGCGAGTTCATCGGAGAAGGGCCGGGGCAAGAGTGAACAAAGTGAATGGAGCCCGTCAAGTGACCGGAGCGCAAGAAGAGAGCGGTAATGGGAGGACTCTTGGGAATCAAGAGGCCGTTGGAGAAGATGAAGATGAGTATGACTGGGTTCTGCGCGACTCAGTCGATGTTGGACCGTACTACTTCGTGGAGCGGATGCACTAGGTGCGCATGGGCATTGAGACCTGCGCTGAGATAAATTAGCTCTGGCGGGAAACGTCGGACTTCTCCGGCCTTCCGCCCCCAGGCGCCCATCGTCGAGCGGTAAAATTTTTCTTTGGGGTTCGCTCCGGCGGTTGTGCATATGCACAGGCCTGGCGGGCGGGGGGTCGGGGCGGCTCTACGGATCCCGCCCCGGGGGGTGGGGTCAACGCACCCCTCCGCGCTTCCAGTTTCCTGCCCTTTTTACCCATCCTGCTTGCTTCTCACTGGCTGCTTCTTCCCTTGCTTTGGAAATTCTCTGCGCCTGCAGCACATGCTTTTGGCTCCAGGAATTGCGGAAAAGGAGCGTACCCGCGCGCGGCCGCGCGCGGCGGCCGGCGGGCTGGCCTCCTCCCTTCAGCGTTTTTCTTGTTGCCTGCTTGACGTCATTATCCTTTCTTGCCCATGTCTTCTGTGAAGCCCACTGACTACGGGACATCACCGGGGCAGATCGCAGGGATTCTGAATTTTCACGCGAAAGATTTATATTGCATGCTATGCGAGCCTGCCTGCCCCGCCGCCAGTTTGCCAGCTGGCTTTGTGACTGTGGCCCTTCGTGGTTTCGGTCCTTGTTTTCGGTCGGTCCCTCGGTCGGCTTCGTTCTGGGTCCTGGGTTCCGTCCCTCGTCCCTTGTCGGTCCCCTTCGGGCCTCTCGCCGTTCGTCGGCTTTGCAGGGAGCTAAGGCTAGTCGTCAGCCCGCGTCTAAATAAAAATCCGTTATGGGGGGCTGGTCCAGCAGGTCGCCCAGGATGCTGGCGAGTTGTGGTCCGTAGTTCTCGGCGAACCTCGTCTGGTGTAGGTTGGCCCCAGGAATCTCCCCTTCCAAGTGAGCGTGTTGGTGTGCGCCGACGCACTGAAAACCATTGAATTGAGTCCCATCAGCTAGCCCCCGTCGCGCGGTGCGGACCCCAGTCCTCTTGCGAACGGGTCCTTCACCTGGTACCTCCAGTCCGGTCATACATTGATCAAGAAGAACGTGAGGGCCAGGGAGACTGTAGAGGGCTCCCGTCTTCCAGCGTTTTGCCGTAGATGGCTGCTCCAGGTGCGCGTGTTGGCCGTGTTCGTATATTGCTTCAGGTAGATCTTCTTGCAAAACATCAGGTGCGTGTCGTGATGCTCTCGGCGTCGCTCGCGAAGCTGCTCTCTGTTGGTGTCCGTCTTGGAATTAATCTCATGCATGAGCGACCACAGCTTGCACTCGGGGCTTAACCGTACATCGTCCGGTTCCTCGTCGCCGATCAGCTTGATAAATTTCTCTTGGGTGATGAGCTCGCTGAAGTCCCAGCCGTTGTGCATGCCGAGCGTCCGTGCCTGATGTCCGCGTCGTCGTAGTTCTTCTGTGAGTTGAGACTGGCCGCCGTAGACCCTCCAGACCTTTCGCCTGGCCGGGTGGATGTCTCGAGCTCCGTCCGGGTCGTGTTGTATCTCTTTGTTGGTTGTGTCAACGGCGTCCAGGCATCGTTTGAGTTGCGTCGGGGTGAGGTCCTTGGCCACTCTGTCGCTCTCGTCTTTCTGGTCCGTCTTCGTATCGATCTGCACCATAACTCTAGTGAGATCCATTGTTTCTTCGTGTGGTAACACCTCCTCGCCCAGCATGGTGTAGGGGCTGATCGGGTGCTGTATTCGGACATGGTCTAACATGTTCTGTAGCAAAAGTGTCTGGCCGGCGCGCTCTTTCTTGATGCGGTCGTAGCTCTCCATCATGTTGATCACGAAGTGACCCTTCGCCGACTGCTGCCGTAGTGGGAACCACTTGCCATCTCCATCCCAGCAGGCCGGCTTCTTCTTGTAGTCCG